CGCCCCCCCTCACCACCCCCCACGCCCGCCTCCTCCGTTCTCCCGGGTCTCGCGGAGAAATGAAACTCCAGGCGCTGGAAGGGCCGGCGAGCCCGAGAGCCCAGAAACGAAACCGACGCGCCTCTCTGAGTGCGTCACCGCTGGCTGGGCCCGGAAACCTGAGGGTTTTTTGTTGGTTTGTTTTAAGTAAGTTTGTATTGATATTTTTTTTTTTTAGAGGGGAAGGGAGAAGGAGGAGGAGAGAGAAACAAGGATGGTTTGCCTCCCGCACGCATGTACGCACGCACCCCCACTGGGGATGGAACCCTCTACTTGGGTATGTGCCCTGACTGGGAGTCCAACCGGCGACCTTTGGGTGCACGGGAGGATGCTCAGCCCACGGAGCAGCAGGGGCCAGGGCATCTCCTGAGTTTCATCAGGCAGCGCAGAGGTTTCTGGGGCGCTGTTTGAGAACTGCTGCTCTAAAAGCCTTGAGTCATAGATAGATAGATAGATAGATAGATAGATAGATAGATAGATAGATAGATAGATAGATGATAGATAGATAGGCCTTGAGTCCTGCAAAGCTGAACTAGCCTTGAACCTAGAGCAGTGGTTCTCAACCTTGGCTGCACATTAGAATCACCTGGGAATGTTTTTAAAATCCTGATTTCTGGGCCTCATCCTCCAGAAATTCTGTTTCTTTGTTACTAATGTTGTGGCCCCACCCCATAACAAAAAAACAGAATTTCCGGAGGATGAGGCCCAGAAATCAGGATTTCAAAAACATTCCCAGGTGATTCTAATGTGCAGCCAAGGTTGAGAACCACTGACCTAGAGGGTCCCTTAAGCCCTGGTCTCGGAACAGAGGCACTGACAATAATTGGGGTCTTCCTGCTGGAGGGTCTCGGGGATCCTTCCAGCATTGGCAGGGCTTCTTAAGCATTTTTAGGGCAGTGCCAGCTTCCCCATCGCCCCTACCCCTGCAGGCCCACATCAGCTTCCCCCTCCCCCACTTCTCCGGGTCCACCTCAAGCCTCCCTGGCAGTCTGATTTCTCTGGGGCAGAAATGGGTGGAAAGTGGGGACTGAGGTCAAG